TATATATATATATATATATATAATTGATTAGTGAGCCGAACGAGTAGAACACGAACGAACAAAACTTGGTTCGTGTTCGGCCCGTTAACTTAGTAAACGCGTCGAACTCGAGCTTCTTAGTGAGCCGAACGCGAGCTGTTCATGAACAATGAGCCATTTTGACAGCCCTAATGTATTTATAACTTTGATTTCTTACATTTATAACCTTGAAATCTTTAATATAGTATTAAAAAATGACTATCATCACATTTATAAAAGTGAGATACAACCTTTCATAGAAAAAGTACTATTAATATAACAAATTAAAATTTGGGCATTGAATATGTTAAAAATATAGAAGATTTGTATGAAGATATGTATTCAAATCTTAGGTTTTATTATTGTTTATTGAAATATTCATGATGATAATAAAAAGAAAAGTATATGATTAACATGGAATGAAAATTCTACAAATGTACGATAAATTAAAAGCAGCTCACAAGATGATGTGAGTTTTTACATTTAATAATCGAAAAGAGAAAATTTTATGGGATTTTCAGCTTATTTTGATTGAATCACACAACTTTTAGTTTCTCTCTTTTTTAGTATGATGCTCGGCCTCTTTGATTTCTTGTGATTTATCATATTTACTCATGGGTTAATGTTTTTAACCTGAAAGTTTGATCTTTGTTTTGTTGGCATAACCTAAGATTGATAAATGCTTGACTCGCGAAAAAAAAAAACCACTTAATTAAATATGATTTTTGTTAGGTACGACTCATATACCAGATAAGGGACAAATGCTGGAGTGGAGTGGAAGCATCTGTATAAATGGGTGAGTTTCTTTAAGTGAGTTGGGGGTTGTATTTATATATATAAAGAATTTGTAATTATATGAGAACTAATTTTCACTTCAGGAATAGAAACTGCCGCTCTACTCTCATGGACGTAGACACATTGCCGAACCTTGTAAATATCTTGCGTTTTTTAATCTTCATGTGATTTTGTTTTCAGTTCTATTTTCATGTATTTTAGATGAGATAACTTCTAGAGACCAATTAATGATTATCCAATCTCTAATTTCAACAAATTTATGATTGAATTAAATATCTTAACAGAGCAAATCTGACAATGTAAAATATGCTTCACTTTGAATCCAACGGGTATGTTGTCCTAAAATATAGTTAAATATATGGGGTATAATTTGAAGGATTAAATGATGTATAAGGCTCACACTATAGTGCAACCAAGAATTTAATCAGATGAATTCAATATGCCTAATATTACTCAATTTTGAGATCATTAAATTATTTAAATACAAAAAAACTGATTCGTGACTAAATAAATCAATATGAGCTATCTAATGAAGTATTTTAAAAAATTGGCTAGATTTATCAAAACGCCGTTGTTAAGAATTTTAAATAAACCTTCATTACTGACAGAAGCAAAGGTTTTGTGTGCTCCCATTTAGATAGATATTGGATATATGAAAAACTCCAACTATCTATTAATATTTAACATCGATGACTAACAACTACTATTATCATCTAATTATCCTTTGGCCGTCGTTACCTTTTAGTCGTTATCCAACCGCAGTTGCCTAATTACCATTACCCGACTATCATTATTTTACCACCCCCAACCACATTTAACTGACACCATCATCGCTTAACCTAAAAATTTGACAATTGATGCATGATTAACGTTGTCCACTATCACCTAGTCACTATCATCATCACCTAATTATAATCATTCGTTCATCGTCTTCTCACTATTATCTATTAATGAGCATCTTCATCCCATACTATTTTCACCACAATCATTAAAAAATAAGCTAGTGAGACATGTATCATTTTGTATACTCTTTTTCTTCAACTAAAAAGATAAGCAGAGTCTTTTAGATGGGTTATGTCTCGTTGTATTTTTACTTCAATTAAATTAACACATAATAATATCAATGTATTTGAGCCTTTACTTAATATTCACCTTTTTTATAAAATATAAATATTGCTTCTCTCAATATGAATGTATGTATGCATGTATATGTATATATAATATAATTACTAATGAAAAAATGATTACATATGTAGTTCAAATATATTCGAGCACTATATATAATAATATTGTAGATTGTTATACACATGATATATAATAATATACAATAGTGTTATAAATGGTGTGCATAACAGATTCTGTACATAATATTCTCTCATATTCTTCATGACATCAAATCGAATAAATTTACTCTCGTATATTTATTCGTGACATAGTAATTGAGTATCGTGAGAGCACGAGTTTGAACACATAATGCCTTTCAGTTCTCATTAAAAAAAAGAAAAAAAAAAAGAAAAAAAAAAAAGGTAACACCGTCTAAACGCGGGATGTGGGATGAATGATGAACTGGGAAATGTAGTTTGTAATTCAGCGAAAGGTGAGGGGGCCATCGGCATTAATAGAATGTGGGGGCCATTTTGTATATTGTGCTTGCTGGAACCCGTAAAAATTGGCCGAATCTACTTTCCGCGTTGAAAACAATTCTTACCGACACGTGTCTTTCTCCCGATGCTCTTCCCGGTTCCCGCAAGTTCTTCACCTTTTCCACCACCCCGAACCCTTCCGCTCCGACCCTCCACCAAACCTCTTGGTCCTCTCCATCTAAGATAATTCTGTATCCTCACGAAAGGGAGAGCTCGCCGGCTAGAACGCCTCGCTTTGTCATCGTGATAAGTGAAGGGTTTCGTCGCCGGAGCTCCTCCTGATACCGATTGAGACTTCGGGTATCGGCGATCTTAGTCGGCCGACGTCTGATCTACCTTTAGCGGATCGAATCCTTTCCGCTTTCACCGGAGGTATACTTGATCTAGATTATTTATCTTACGACCTTAGCTTCCTAGCTTAGCTAGGATTGTGCTTGACGCCGTTGAGTGTTCCAGATCTTATTGTTTGGGCTCAGTCTGGATTTGCGTTGGATTTAGTCATTGTCGTTTTGATTGTGAGATTGGTAGCTGGCGTCTTCTCCTTGTTGGTCGTTTCTGTTTTTCATCACTATGGTCGATTTTTTGGGTTTCTGTTGAGATGGGAATTATGATTTACTAAAACCAGCTATAGTTCTTTGAAACATTTGAGCTTCATGGGCATCAGTGCTTCATTTTAATTATTATTTTTTGTACATGGAAAGATTTTCTTTGTTTTTATTAATCGGATTTGTTTGTCAAAATGGCCCCTTTAAGGATTCTAGGTGTGTAATAGGCGTCTTCCGCAGATGATTATGAATCTCAATTGCTTTACACAAGCACGATTTGATATTTAGGGGCTGTTTGGGTGTAAGAACGATTTAACAACTCATGTAAATTAGGATTTAGTAAATCTTCAGGTTTTCTATCTTGAAATTAGTTTAGATGTCAAAAGCACCCATTCCAGTTAAATCTAAAAACAATTTGATTATGGTGTAAGAGGATTAGTAGATTTTGATTAGATCTTTAAGTTGTTTTTATTCTTTATTCAAGTTACATGTCAATTAATTAAGACTATGGTGATTAAAATTTAATTTGAAAATTTAAGCTTTAGTGTTAGTTGAATTAATTGGAGTTTACTAAATTAACAAATCAGTAAGCTTTGTTGATTAGTAGAGTGTTTTTAGGCTATTCAATCGTTAATTGTGCTAATTTGGGATTGATTGATGCGTGATGATTTAGGACCAGGTCTTATAATGAAATTAGCTCCAATGCACTGCAAGATTTTAAATGACTCAAATTTTCACGCTTTTATCTTTTTGTTGTTTCATTGTGGAATTATTTTTGAATTCAAACACAAAGTAACTTGATCACCAGGTTTAAACTCCACTTATCTCTACTGCACATAACATGAATTTTATAATTGTCATAGTAGCTTATTTTCTTTGAACATTCTCACATAATTCATGGATATCATGCAAATATGTACTATAATATGAGATAATCAATCAAAATGCTAAAATTCTATTATGCTCTTCAAATGATAATACTAGTGGCCTATAATTAATTCTTAAAAAATAATATTAACAGAGAAATTAACAAGAGACCAATCACACAAATATGATATGCTTCATGGACAAATAACATTTTTAATAAAAAATACAAAGATGACTAAAAAAATTAGTCACGATGATTTATGCACCTTCAGGATTGACCAAATGAATGAAATTTTATATTTCAAGCTTCTCTCAAGACATTTGCTATAAATAAATTCCTTGAAATATTCTTTTCACTAAGACCTTGTCTTGAGATTTATTTTGTGAATTTGTATGTCACTAACCAAGAACCTAAAGTAAATTCAATATCAGTTAGATTATCCTTTATTAAAATAATCTTGATAGAATATTTATAAAAAAATGTATTTTTCATATTGCTTATCTGCTTTATCAACTAAATAAGTTATGATAGATTCATCTTCATAAAGATTATGCTGTATTTCTATTAGAAGTTTAAATTAGATTTTTGTTATATTCTTAATTTAATTTTAAATCCAATTTTTAACTATTGATCAAATATAGATTCAAATTCATGTATATGGTCTAATGTAGATTCAGTTTCATTAAATATGGATTCATAATGTAACTGTAAATCATATTTTTGATTTACTATAGCCTCAGAAGAATATTGATGAACTACCATCTCTTTCAATTGGATCAACTTAAGTCATTCAAGATTCTATTATTAATGTACTTTTCATTGGTTTTAGCTCATATCTTATGGAGTTCTTTTTTATAAATCAATACAGATGCAACAACCCTAATACAATGCTTGTAACATAATTCAATACACAAAGATCTAGATAAAGTCTTAGATAGAGTTTTCAATGAATATTCATTTATTTCATTCTTAAACTCTCGCATATTGCCTTTAATAAAACAAATAGTGGAAACAAAATCGTCTGAAGGAAAATCATGTGCAGTGACACGACGTGTAAACCTTGCACAATGTTTAAACTTGCTAGAATTTCTTTTGTCTACAACTTCGAAATTGATTTTGTAATTCATCCCTACATTATCCATATGGCATACATTTCTCTTTAAGCTTTGTTTCATGCTAGTTCATACCTATGTTATTTCTCACTAAAATAATTAAGCATGAACCATTAATAATGTATAAGCAAGTTTAACCTTTTTTAAAAGCAAATAAATGCTAATATTAAAAAAAAACTCCCAAATTATTGATCAACTTCAAAAATATTCAAAGATCATGTCTTCTATTGAATACAAGAATATAATCTTGAACCTGATGATAATTTTGTTTCTATTATCTTAAATCATAACCTAACCAATTTATTTTAAATTGTGTCATTAACTGAATTATGTTTATTGGCCCAATTAAATATCCTATATTTAGTTTATGTGATGATACAACCATAACATCTAATATCAATTTAATGCATCATACGTTAGGGTAAAGATTTCCAAATATATTTGAATGATTCATAATATATCGATCATGGGAGGGAATTTAGGATTCTCAAACAAAAAACCACAAAAAACCAATAATTTGCTTTATTTAAATGGAAATAAATATAAGAATTAGATCCGTAATAGTAATGTAATGATAAGGTAAATTCAACATATTTGAATTACATAAAACCAATGAGTAATTATAATTTAATGATCACAAATAGAATTTCAGCTCAGTCAAATCTAAACAAAATTTGGAAAACGAGAAAACCAGTAAAAAGTTTTTTAGAAGAATTCACATGAAAATAAGAAGTTACCAATGTAAGAAATTCAGACCTAACATAAATATGTGGAGATGACTTCCTTGGAATTAATTAGTCTTATATTACACTCCAAGGGCATGATTATGAATTGAAAGAAGAATTTTTGTTGCATCGAAGATCTCCAACTAAAAGCCTCGGATCATCCATTAATAGATTTCTCATTTCTATTTTAGTAAATTTGGGAGGCACTAGTTCAACCTAATTTAATTATAGATCCTTGGAACTCCAAGTTTATCCAAAAAAAGAGATAAATATGCTGCAACTAAAAAAATATCAATAATCTCACATGTAAACACTCACGCATAATGCTCAAATATAGATGGAACAAAGGAGATCACAACATGTGAAAGAAGAGTAACAAAAAGTGTTGTAGACCTGAATAGAATGTTGTAGAGTAGGCCTACTACAATCGCACAATAATAGTGGCACATTGCTGTAGTCTCAACATGGAATAAGAAGGCAATCCTGCATCACTAATTATACATAATTTTATATAAATTGGTGAACTAAAATTTAATTTCTTTGGTACTTAGTAATTAATTAATGATTAAATACTAAGTTTTCCTAATTAGGTAACTAAGGTTTTAGTATTGATTAATAATGCTTAAAGAGATTAATCAGGGATTATTAGGACTTTTAGTATCCATGACAAATCAATTAGTAATTGATTTGTTTAAAGAATTTGTACCGATTAGCATGCTTGCCTGAGTTAATTAGGGTTTGATTTTATGATTAAATATTGCTTAATTTGGCTCATTAAGTTTTTTGTTTTTAATTAGGATTAATTATTGCTAATTACTTAAGCAGACGACTTAATGATTGAGAAATTAATATATTGATTTGTCTAATTGGTTTTTCTTTTTGCCCCTCTCTCTCTCTCTCTTCAGTCTTTTTTTCTTAACTCTTAATCCTACAACATAAAATTGAGGGAATTGAGGAATTTTCCAAAGATTACATGAATAACTCAATCTGAACAGTGTTAAAGCAAAAGGTGATGTTCAAGATTTTGTTAACTATAAATGAATCAAATTTATTATTCATATAGTCCAAAGATTACATGAACAACTCAATCTGAACAGTGTTAAAGTAAAAGGTGATGTTCAACATTTTGTTAACTATAAATGAATCAAATTTATTATTCATATAGTGAAGTTATTGGAGGAGTATTTGAATATAGGCTTATACAAATTACATTAATATTTGAGAATCAGTTTGATATTATATGGAAAAGTCTATTCTGGTGATGATTTTTGTGTTAAAATAATTAATGGAGTAGTATATGGAGTAACAAAGGGATGCTCATATTATTTTTAGTTATTTGGAGAAGACATAACTTAGCACACATGGATTTACTTGGTGTGCTTTTAAGTAGAAAGATGTGTCAAAGATATTTTTGCATTAAAAAGGGTATGGATGATAGAGCACTGATTGATATTATAATTGTAGAATGACCTAAAAGTTTCTGATTATTGAACATCTAAAATTAAGTCAATATCTTGTTTATATTATTTATCGGGATTCTTGCAAAGGATATTCAAAGTGAGCTGCTTTGGTGTGTAGACTTGTGGTTATGATTTAAGTTTAATCAGAGTCATCCATTAAAATTAGGGAAAAATTATAATAGTGAAGGAAAAGTTTAGAAAATAGAGGCTTTAGAATTTGTAAAACAAAAATTGTGTTTATGATATGAAATTTTACTAGCAATGATTTTAACAACTACCATTCAGTAATACTAGCAATTAATGTATCTATTGTGCAAATGAATGAAGAAATAAGGAATCATATATTTTCTAGCTAATAATTTTGTATTGCTCTAAACTTGGCTTTGTAAGAAGTCATTGATATCTAAGTTGAATATGATAGAAAGAGAATATGAAAGCGGATGTGTGGCAAAAATTGGGAGGATTAATTAAAAAATAAGTATATTAGAGGAAAGGTTGGAGCGTCGTCTATTAAAAATAAGGTGTCAACAAAAAGATTTAGATGGTTTGGAAATATACAATGAAGGATGGAACACCCATTAGATAAAAAATAGTGTTTGAAGATTAGGAATGAAATTGAATAGCTTAAGATTATATGGATTAATTTATTTTAATAGGCTTTGTGAATAATATGTTTGACATTGCAAAATTAACTCAATAAGAACGAGTAACTATGGGGATTCATAATACCGATCCTAAATGGTTGCGATAAGGCTAATGATGATGTGGACTTTGGGTTTGTTTGGGACATATGTAGTTGTTTGAAGAAGTAGTTGTGAAGTTGATGCAAAAGAAACTATTGTTTAAAAAGTTGTGGTGGCTAATATAAGTTTTTATTTTATTTTATTTTCAAAAAGGCTGGCTGCAGCTTTCTAGCAGCCACACCACTTAGCCAGGTCAGCCCCACCCCCCCCCCCCCCCCCCCCCCGGCCCACACACACACACACACACACACACACACACACACTAATCTAATAGTCATTTCAGTTGTTTGGTCGGATTAAAGTTGTATTGTAGTTGAACTTGAAATCATTTAATTCTACCTGCATCCAACAAATTCATATAATTTATTCTATGAAATTTGTAGGATATCCAAAACTCCTAAATTTTATTTTATAATTCAAAGGTAATTAGTTGTGTTAAATTCTTTTGAATTGGATGTGAATTTCTGCGAGTTTGTTTTGTTTAATGATTTAAAAATATTTCTAATATTCTCCTGATTCAAAATCAGTTTCTCTGCACATTTTTATCGGACTTCTGTGTACTGGATTGGATAAAATCAATTCTTCACTAGTGTGTAGATTTCTTAGTGTTGGCTCTTTCTGTAATTGTTTTTTATTGTGATCACTTTTTAGAATGCACTAACGTTTATTTATCAACCTATATTACTTATTTATTTATTTATTATTTGCTTGCTTTCTTATGGACAATAGTATCTTCCTGCTGGTGCTATCCATCCAGTTACTTTCTTGGAAATGCCTCCATAGTTGTGCTTTTATGTTCTCTTAATCTTTGTTCTAATTCATACTTTAAATCTGAAGTATTGATGACAGCTATTTCTTCCATTTCGTTGTTGGTATCATTTTGCCTGCTTTCATGTCTTCCTTGCAGAAAAAATTACTTAATTAAGGCGATTGCATATTATTCACCAGCAGCATGAAGAAAGCCTTTGATCAAACTGTTAGGGAACTGTAAGTTTTTGCATCATTGAAATTTACTCAATATATTCGTTACCCGTTCCACTGTTAAAATTTTTTAGGGGAATTTACATACATAGCACACAATTCTTACGTATCGACATATCTCACACCTAAACTTTTATATTTACCCACACAGTACTCAAATCCTTAATATCACATCAAAAGGAGCACTATTATCACTTTTTAAAAGTTGAATATACCTTTTCTATGTACAAGTTTAAAGCTTGAAAGTGTTATGAATGTAAATGTGAGATATGTAATTAGATGAGAATTATGCATTACATATGTAAATTTTCAAATTTTTTTTCATGTAATCAATCCGAAGGTTGCTAATCTGGACATGATATTATATGCTTAGATAGTGCGTTTTGTTAGGACGATATGTTGATTTTTTGTCTTGTGGTTGTAATGTTTTTTTTTTTTTTTTACTTTTTTGTCTTGCAGAAAGAGAGAGGTCAACAAAAAGGTTTTGAAGGTACCTGGAATTGAACAGAAGGTAATCAATGACCTACTTCTCTTAGCTAGATCTCAATGAAAAGAGCTAGATCATGACACAGCGAAAAGAAAGAAAATATATAACAAGCAAGAACTTGAAGAAAATTTGCTAACGAAGTAAAATAGATTAATTTAGGATAAATATGATCATTAGAATTTTCTTCTGTATTATTTTATAGGCATGGGTACATTTAGTTTTTACATTTTTAAATGTTTATAATAGTTAATATCTATGTAACGTAATTCTTTCCTTAATAGTTAATGCAATATTTGAAAAGCATTGCAAGCCCTAAGCCTATATAAGTTTATGATCTTACTCCGAAAAGGATTGAGAATTGTTAAATGTATATCGAACAAATTTTGAGATCTTGAGTTTCCCTCTCTTTAGCGGTCATTTATTTTTTTCTCCTTTTCTTTCATTTTTTTCTAATATTTATTTTCTTTGTGCTTCTCTTTTATGTTAAGTGGTCTTAGAGGATTTTAATACTCGATAAGGGGCACTATAGTTCATGTGAGAGAACGGAAGGGGAGTGGACACCATTAATCATGAAATTCATTGCCAATCCTGTTGTTGTCATGTCTCTTTTCAATTAAGGCCCTTCCTCCTTTACCTCACATGGCTTATGTCGCATTTTGAGGATGTCTGCAATTACCAACTTGACTCCTCACGAGCAACTATGGATGCAGTTTCATCGACTTAATTCTTTATTGCCAATTGTCTCTTAAAATTTTCATTTGTTATTATGACATCAATATAATCCAAATATTCAACATGGATAGCTTATAGATGGAGGATATATGACAAACACAAGCCTTAGGATTTTCAAAATTGTCAATATTCACCATGGAGACATCATTATTATTTTATTGACATAATTTATCAAGGCCATCAACATCTCCATAGAAAATATATTTCACATCTACTTTAAATATGGATAGAGATTTGATAAAAATATCTCTTGAAAAGTTTAGAAAATAAATTTAGGTAACATCCTAATACAATATATAATAAATCAATTTTTTTTAGTTCCAATAGTTAGAAATCAATATTAATTTCAAAAGTTCAGACATTTGTGGCCCATAAGTTCAGAACGATTATCCTAGATCTGAGTCAATCTATGAAGATTACTATTGTGATGATCTTGATCTTTTGGATGCATCTAATGATGATTATGAGCAAGTATTAGTACTCAAGCCACTTTATGAACTTGAGGTCGTGCCTGAACCTAAGCATGATGTTTTAGTTGAAGCTAAGCAAGATTTTGTACTTGATGAGCTTGAGCTAGAGCTTACACAATGGTAGAGACTAGTCTATATAAGCTATTTAAAAATTTAAGCCCCTAGTCTCTATAAGCTATTTAAAAATTTAAGCCCCTAGTCTATATAAGTTCTGATATTGTATGAGAATGAATTGAGAAATATTGAAAGTTTGTCTTCTCTCTATAGCTGCCAACTACTAAGTTCTCTCTCTCTCTCTCTCTCTCTCTCTCTCTCTCTCTCTCTTTTTCTCTCTTTTTTGTTTCTCTCTCATTTTACCATAAGTTTTTTATTTTAAAAAAATTGCAAATTTTAATGGCTTAAATTTGGTCACAAGTTTAATGCATGGGGGTATGCTACTGAACTACTGATTTGTTTCTTACTCAGATCCTTGATGCAACAAGCAATGAACTTTGGGGTCCTCATGGGTCGCTTCTGGCTGATATTGCACAAGCTACACGAAATTAGTGAGCCCCTGCTTTGAATACTTTTTTTTTTTTTCTCATCCCAATGCTCGGTTTTTGCTTCTGTTTTATATTGTTTTTTCTTGTGCAGTCATGAGTATCAAATAATAATGCATGTGATTTGGAAGAGGCTCAATGATACTGGCAAAAATTGGCGTCACGTATATAAGGTGGTAGCATTCTTATTTTATGTTATTAATCAAGTCAGATGTTGGCTCTGTGCTGTTGGTTGGATTTCTCTTAGGAAGTCTTACATACATACCACTTAATTCTTATGTATTTACATATCTAACACCTAAATTTTAATTTTTACATATATGCAACCTCACCTTTGCATTAAAAGGCATATTTCATTTGTAAAGTTAAAATAGTGGTACTTTTGATGTGATAGAAAAGATTTGAGTGGCCTAAGTGTAAAAAGTAAACTTTAGGTGTTAGTTATGTTAATATATAGGAATTGATAATGCATGTAAATGCTCTTTTTTATAACTGATGCTTAAGTACAGTCTACTTAACTGAATTGCTTCTTTTCTTTTGATTCCTAAATTTTCTATCTATTGTTCTGCAGTCCTTGACAATTTTGGAATACCTGGTTGGGCATGGATCTGAACGAGTTATTGATGAGATCAGGGAACATGCTTACCAAATATCAGTAATGATGTTATTTTGTTATCATTGATTTTTGTTTTATAACTTTGTTTTTTTAATTAGTTGATGTTAATCTAATTGGCTAATCTTCTCATGATACTGCAGACTCTATCTGACTTCCAATACATTGATTCTAGCGGAAAGGATCAGGGGAATAACGTACGAAGAAAATCTCAAGCACTCGTTTCCCTTGTTAATGATAAAGAAAAAATACAGGAGGTTAGACAGAAAGCACTTGCAAACAAAGACAAGTAAGTTTGCATCATTAAAGAATTTAATATTTAGTGGATAGATTTTTGTACTTTTAAACATTTTTGTATTTTATAGGTATCGTCCCACTTACGGTTCGAGTGGATCATATAAGCCAGGTTATGGTGACCGTTATGATGATGATCGTTATGGAGGTAGAGATGATGATCGAAATGGCTATGGGAGAGGAAAAGATTCGAGTTACAGAGATGATGAAAGGTATGGTAGAGGTGGAGACTTCAATAGGTATGGTGACGGGTTCGGTAAAGATTTTGATGAACACTCCGGACGAGGAAGTTACAAAAATGATGATGATAGCAGAAGTGGACGGGGTAATAATGATGATTATACATTTGGTCCAAGAAGTAAGAGTTTTGACAAAGACAAAGATCATTCATACGAGGAAGATGATAGTTACTCCTATCGGTATATGCCCAACATTCCCCTAAACTTATATTCTCATCTTAAAATTGAAACCCGACTTTTGAAAAGTTATGAATGCTGCAAACTTTTTTATTTAGTTTCCTTGATGTTGTTCAAAGAATTTTAACTGATTGTTTGATTTATATATATTCTTTTGTTTTCAATCGGATCTAGAAATGGCGGTGATAGGGCCAATGATGCTTCTCCCGATGAAAGGTATTTTTCATCACATAGGAGCTATATTTTTTATCTGGGCATTTACGTACATAAAACACAATTTTGATTTATTTACATATCTAATACCTAAGATTTGATTTTTACATTTGTACCTCTCAAATCTTTTATTTCACATAAAAATACCACTATTTTAACTTTTAAAAAGTGAAATACACATTTTCATGCATAGGTAAGGTGACATATGTAAAAATTGAAGTTAGGTGTTAAATATGTAAATACATAAGAATTGAGTTGCATGCATGTAAATCTTCCTTTTTAATTTTCACAACAAAGCATAATGTACCAAATCTTTATCATAATGGATTGATGCGGCAACAGGAACCCTGAACGAAAGCTTTCAGAACAAGGTGCTGGTGCACCGCCCAGCTATGAATCAGCAATAAGAAGTGATAACAATATTTTGCGGGATGAGAGGTACGAAATTGCATGATTTTAGTTTCTCTACTTGATGGATGCAGACATGATACCTAACATATTTCTTTGCTGTAGGAATGAAGGGGTTGGAACAGCAGCTGCCCCCAAAGATTTGTCGCCGACCGTGCCTAAAACATCATCCCCTCAGAATAATCATCATGGAGAGCACCACGCTGCTACAGGAGTGCATTCATCACCCATGACAATGGATGATTCTTCTTTTGATGAATTTGATCCCCGCGGCTTCACCCCAGGTAAAGAAGTCCTCTTATTAACCATGTGGTCATCCATGCAACAGCATCACCCATCCTGTGTCACCTGTTTTAGATTTGTGATGTACTTATTCTTTTAATCTGTGGAAATTTAGCTTTGTATGTAGCAACAAAGCCCAAGTCTAGGTGAGATTATGAATTGAATTTTATTTATATTTGATATTTTTATTGGTAGCTACCAGTTTACTTGAGGTCTGGCTTTTATTTCTCAACTTTGAAAGGCATATTTCAATTTGTCCGTCTCAATATTAGCAGTACGAGGTTTTATACAGTTATTACCATTCCCTCTGGTGCTCACAAAAAGGCAGGTGGAGTTGAGTTCTTTACCTAGATCTGTACTCGAATCTTTAAAGAGTGAAGTGCCAAAAGTGTCTTCGGACTATTTACTTGAGGTTATTGTAGTCCTAGAGTTTATAAATGTGTTAAATTAGTTCCCAGACTCTTTTAATGGAGGCTCTAAAGTTCTCACCGGGGATTATTTTAACCTATATTAAAAGAGTCCGGGACCAAATTGATATTTTTATAGACTCAGGACTAAAATGACTCCCTATGAGGAGTCAGGGAACCATTTTGACATAAAATATGAATTTTGGATATCACCATCGTATGAGTTAGTGGAAAACTGAAAGATCCATTATGCTCTCCAAAATTAACTTGCGTAGTGGGTATCACCGGATACAGATGAGGCCGGGAGAAGTGTGGAAGATTGCCTTCAAGACATGGGATGGACTTTATGAGTGGACTGTCATGCTTTTCGGTCTGTCAAACACATCCAACACTTTCATGAGTTTGATGAACCAGGTATTTCCGCCTCAAATTGGAGAGTTTGTCGCAGTCTACTTTGACATTCTAGTATACAACCGATTATAGGAGAATCACTTGCATCACCTGAAAGCTGTATTTGAGGTGCCGCGAACTGAGCAACTATGCGCCCATCTGAAGAAATGTCACTTCATGACAAGCCATGTATGTTTTTTGGTTACATCGTGTCTAGTGCAGACATCTAGATGGATCTTGTAAAGGTAGAAGCCATTATCAGTTGGGTCGCACCACAATCATTCACTGAGCTGAGACAATTTTTGGGGCTAGCATCATTCTATCGAAGATTCATCAGAAACTTCAACACTATCACCTCCCCTCCGACCGAACTTCTAAATAAGGAGTTTGCTTGGACAGCATCAACTCAGGGCATTTTTGACACCCTAAAGGAAAAGGCAACTCAAGGGCCCGTACTAGCATTACCAGACTTCAACCAACTGTTCGAGGTAGAATGCGATGCCTCCGACATAGGGATCGAAGCTGTGCTAAGCCAGGGTGGACACCCCATCGCTTTCTTCAATGAGAAGTTGAAAGAATTCAGGAGGAAATATTGGACTTACGACAAAGAAGCTACGCCATCCCAAGGGCTCTGGAGCATTGAAGTCATTATCTATTGACGAACGAGTTCACACTATTTACACGAGACCCTAAAATTCCTCAACAATTAGAGTAAACTGAAGGGTCGACATACCACCTGGGGGGAATTTTCAGCCTCTTTCAGTTTGTGCTAAAACATAAGGCGGGAAGTCAGAACCGCGTAACAGATGAATTTAGACGTCGACATCTATTGAACTCATCCATGCAGGCTCGAATTGTGGGCTTGAAGATCATAAGGATCTATATGAAACAAACTATGATTTCAAAGACATATGGGAGCAATGTCAGAAAAAGCCAGCAGGGCAATAATTCCACACAGATGGATACTTGTTCCTTCAGAGCCTGCTTTGCATTCCTCGATTTTCACTAAGGGAGGCCATTGTTTAGGATGGCGACGACTAGGGTTGTAAACAAGCCGAGCTTGAGCGAGCTCAGGTTGGGCTCGTGTTCGGCTCGTTCGAAATTGCTTGTGTTCGAAATCGACTCGTGTTCGAAATCGGCGTGTTCGAAACAGGCTCGTGAACAGTGTGTTAGTATTCGGCTCGATTTAAATATTTGTGTTCGTGTATCAACTTAAATTGGCTTGTTAAAATTAAACTGAAAAAATAGATGTAGAATGTTGGATTCGAACCTGGACCAAATATATACAAAACAATGAACATAACCACATTACCACAAGAGCAGTTATGATTTAAACTTAGATATAAATATATATAATATATAATTATATAGATAATATGTGTAATATATTATTATATAAATAATTATATATATATATATATTTTATTTCGAGCTAAAACGAGCTAAACACGAGCGAACAAAGAATTGTCCGTGCTTGGCTCGTTTATAATTTGAGCTTTAAAAATTTGTTTGTGTTCGACTCATTTACTTAACGAACGAGCCGAACACGAGCTACTTAACGAGCCGAACACGAGCTGTTCACAAACAACAAGCTTTTTTGACAGCCCTAGTGACAAGGGAGGATTACTTGGTCACTTCGGCAGGGACAAGATTGTCGCACTAGTAAGTGAGCTTTTTTTTGGCCCAAATTGACTAGAGATGTAGAACGACATGTTAGACTATGCAGAATTTGTCATCTAGCAAAGACAAGGGCTCAAAATGCAGGATTGACACACCACTTCCAGTACCAGAGACATTATGGGTGGACATCAGCATGGATTTCGTGGTTGGACTTCCAAGGACCATAAGGAACAAAGGACTCTGTGATGGTTGTGGTTGACAGATTCTTCAAGATGGACCATTTTGCACCTTGCCATTGGACACTAAATGCCTCTCACATCGCCGATCTATACTTCATAGAGGAATTCCCAAGATCATCACCTTCGACAAAGTCGTCAAATTCTTGAGCCACTCCTAATGGACACTGTGAGGAAAGCTTCACTTCAAACTCTAATTCAGCTCAACAGCTCATCCACAGACAGATAGATAGATGTAAAAAACCGAAGCCTCAGTAATCTCCTGAGGTGTTTCATAGGAGAAAATATAAAACTGTGGGATCTTATTTTTGCCCAAGCTGAGTTCGCATATAATCGATTCATCAGCCAAACTACTGGACGAAATCCCTTCGAGATTATGTACGGACACAATATGCTCACACCACTTGAATTGCTGGCGCTCTTGCCATCTTCGGAAACCAGTGAGGATGCCACGGATCTAGTTCACGAGATAAAGAAGCTCCACGAAGAAGTTGGCAAGGAGATTGCTAAGCAGAACCACAAATATCAGACACAAGAAAATAAATCTAGCAAGAAAATAACGTTTCAAGAAGGCGATCTAGTATGGATTTGGTTAAAAAGAGAGATTTCCCATAGGATCATTTAGGAAGCTCAAGCTAAGAGCAGATAGACCTTTCAAAGTACTTCAAAAGCTGTTCGAAAATGCTTATAAGATCGACTTGTTCGGGTACTACAACGTTTCAGCCATGTTCAACATTGCTGACTTGACATCGTATTTTGACTAGCCGGGAGCTTCGACAAACGAGGTCGAAGCTTCCCCAACCCCGAGAGACTTACGGGGGCGCTATTGCACGCAGGGCCAAAATCCCGCAATCTCTCGCGAAGGCAGGAGAAAGCACGAAAGCGGACATTGCAAGTCTACCGCACTCATCTTCATTTGGGAAGTGTGTTTCGAATACTTCTTGCCTTCCCACCCATTCCTTTTGTGTAGAAGTTTCTTTTGTCCAGTGAGAGTTTATAAATTTCTATTCTTTGTGTGTAGGAGTCCGTTCTGGCTATGTTATCTTTAGATTTCCTTTGTGGAGTGTTCTTCGCTCTCGCTAGGGTTGTATCCGACGACTGTGTCCTACTCAGATGCGGTGTTGTATTCTCCTTATATCATCCTCTTCTTCTCCCGGACCCTCCTCTTATCTTTTTCCTAATCGCCGACCACCTCATCGCCCTCCTCCACTATACCACCACCTCTACTCCCACCACAACCTTGTTTTCCAGCTCACGTACCAAACACCATCCAACCTACCCAAACAGCCATCCGGCCATCCCCACCTTTGCTTACCACTCCGCCAACGCCACCACCGCTTTAGGATCTCTTCTTACAGCCCTAACCAGTGATTAGTATGTTGTTGTACTCCTTTTTCTGTCTGTGTCTTGTTGTAGCCGTATTTTTTATTAATAAAAGTTACCGCTATATCCTAACTAGTTGCGGTATCAATAGAAGATTGTTTAGTGCTTTTTATTTGTTGACCTTGCAGGTGAAATTAAAAATATATTTGATATTTGGACAATTTTAACTCTCTCAATGACTAGTACTGCTAGACTTTTGATTAAAGTTACTGGTGCACAGTGCTAGTCATTTCAACTGCTTGAAATTATCCTTATGCTTATGAGATACAGAAAGAGGATTGAGAAACATATTAGCCTAACCAAATCCGATAAATTACTAGCCGGCATAACAATCGTTAATATTAGTCTTATGTACGATTTTTCAAATGAATATTTTTTCCCAATCTTCCATAATGTTATAAGTTCATAAAATATTTTCAAGTGATCACATTGGGCAAGGTTTTACTTTATTGGCTCTACGCTTCCTAAGGATTTCATAACAACAGTTGGCCATTTCTCTCTGTAACTAAGAGGAATCAGGCTTAACCACCTATAGATTATTCCTTGTTTCTGATGCTGTATGTGTTCCACATGTACATGTACTGTAGATCTGTTTGCCATATTTCTTTCGGTTGATCAGTGGTCTGTAGTTCTGCTCTTAAATGTGCCCCCCGTATGCTGTTTGGTTCATTGGTCTTAATTATTCGGCAAGATTGCTACATGTTACGTTTATTTTTTTGTTCTTGATGAATTAGGGCATAGTTTCAAGATATCTGGAGATGTGCATTTTAGTACTTTTTTTCTTCTATTTTGTAATGCTATATCTTGAGATATTTTGAAGATTTCCAGAAATTTTCTTTTTGTTCAGATTTGTTTTATAGCACGGTTGGTCTTCAAATTGATAGGTTTGCTCTTTGACGTGATTTTCTTTTCTATATTGCTACTCCATTTTTTTTACTCATGAGAGTGATTTATTAATGTTGTATGACAGTATCCTTTTCTTATAATTATTGCTGTTCCTGTAATTGTCAACCAACACTACTGCTCTGCCATAAGTTCCATGTTATTCTTACTTCTCATGGCAGTACTCTTTTTCGTTTTATATGACCTTTTTGGTTTCGGTGGTTTCTGGTATTTTATAAATTTCTCAGACTAGCTCTTGCGCCATTGGGTGATGGCATGTCCAACCAACTGTTTATAACCTTTTTTGGTGGTCTTATTGGAATAAGTTGGATTAATTGCCTTTTAATTTGATTTCTACAAATAAACTTAGTTTCCTTTTGTATTCAGGAAATTTATTAGAATCATTTTTTTTAAATCGTGAATTCTTTTTATTAGTATTGCTGTGCATTTATGTGTTCCTTTTGTTAGAAAACTTGTTTTTAGCCTATCCATCTCAAGGGCTCTTCTTCACACAAACAATTTAAAAATAAGGATGTTAGTACCTAATCAGAACTTTGTCATGATGTTTAAGATGATTTTGAAATTCAGTTTAAATTGATTAGTAGACTCTAATTATTAAGGTGAAACAAATTGATCAAAAAATGTTAATTGTCATTTACCCAATAATAAATTGAGTTGGTATCTAGTAGAATATGATGAGTGACCGTCACTTACAAGTGGGGCATTGAAAAATGTTGGGTATGAATGACTAAAGATGGAGAGCAAAATTCTTCCCAATAGGGTTTCCAGAAGCCTGCAAACCTCGATATAAGTGGATGAATAAGCCACCTTGAGCGATAGGAGCAAACTTCTCATGGGTACAATAAAAGGTGAATGGGAAATATATATATATATATATATATATATATATATATTCTCTGATATAGAATTATCAGCGTGCATGCTAAGTAATTTTGCTTATTTGTTTGAAATAATGAAAGAGAGTTTATTTAGTCATGGAGTGTAGGTTCTCCATAGGATTATGCTCTTATGATTATTTTCTTAGAGAGTTGACCTCTAGGAACCCCCTCAATTAAAATGATGACTAATATTTTAGAGGTTAAAGCTTATTTAGAAGTTGCGAGTTTAGTTGTTTTAATAATAATATTAATAAATAAAGGAAGAAATAACTTGAATAGAAGTAGATTTACATAATTTAGGCGTTCGTTGATTTGCTCCAAAGGGAGTGCATTTTGCATTTCTTTTATAGGAGTTTCATAAATCTGGATTTTTTGGTTGAATGAATTCCAAATACAGTGTAAAATTGCGATACAATTAGAATTCATTCTCTAGTTAATTTTCAATGTAATTGAAGTTCTCTAGATTTTGGTGAATTCCAAATGCACCACTATGTAAAGTTTTGCTTGTTGTGGCCAGCCATTTGGCCATCAATGTTTGTCGTTTGCCTGCTTGTTGCACTCTATCCACCTGCCACCCACCTTCTATGGTTGCCACCTGTTGCCCACCTGCCACGACCACCCTCACTATCCTACCGTTGTCGTTGCTCGCCATCCACGCATTTTATATTAATTTCATTTTTTCAAACTAAACAAGAAAATATGAAGCCCGACATTTAGTACATTGAACCAAACAACTTCAAAACATTTCAAATAAAATTCATTACTTTTACATTTCATTCCTTTTTCAACAAACCAAACAATCCCTTTAAGTAAAATATTCTTAACCCTTGAGTATAGGTAAAAGGACTTGGAATGTGGCTTATGGATAGATTTGATGTTAAAATTTGATTGCTTCTACGTTTCGACTCTCTTGAGCTGCAGATAGTTTAGATAAAAAAATTATGATGTTGTGGGTGATAAATAAAATTGGATGTTTCGTACAAAAAAAATTGGCTGATGTCTTATTCAATGGAACCAAAGTTACAATAAAGTGAGTTGACTAGTTTAACAAGCTGATGAATTTGTTTGGGTCGCATTTTTAACTGTTTCCTTGTATATATGACTCACAAATGGCGTGCATTGGGTTAATCTACTTGGATGAATCAGGATGGGTTGATCAGCTCATGTAAGTTAGATTCTTTTGGTTTAGGTTGGATTAGGTTTAGTCCCATTGGAGTTGTTAGGACATGTTAAGGTGATTGAATCTAAGTGCCTTTAGTTAAAGCTAATTTAGGAATTGAGGGATTGGTTTTAGTCAATTTATTGTAAGTTTGGCTTGATTAATGATGAGTTTAATGTGCAAAAGAACGATTGGAATGGTTAGCTTGATCAGTGTGCTGTAATTTCTGAAGTTTTATACTATGGCTGATTGCCATGATCATTGTTGGCCATGATATTGGAAAGGGTAATTTGAAATTCTAACCTATGAAAGAATATATGAGTATCAGATGCGGTGCATAGATTCCCTCAGCAATATTGGATGAATCTGAGATTTTCGGGATAATCACTGAGACTGAATTCAAGCCGATTTGTTGGAGGAAAACAAATTTCTTACAAGGCAAATAGTTGCTAAAATCCTTTCAAATTCTGGTACTATATGAACAGGCATAATTGGCTATTTACCTTCTCCTTTGATCCTTCTATAGGTAATGGGTTTAGCTACATTTCAAATTGCGATGGTTAGCCTCAGGAAGTTGATTGGCTCTAGGGGTTAGTTGATCTTGTTGCAAATGAGTCGATGACTAGTTTCTAGACTTCCTTGTAACGAGCACCTATAACCAACAACCTTGGTCGACAAGGAGGGTGGTTTTGGAAGGATGACAATGCATTGATCGAAGCTTGCTGTTAAGAGCTGTGAGCAGCTTGTAGGTGATTGAGGTTACGTTTCAATGTTTGTCAGCTAGAATCTTATGGTGATTTGAGATTTTTTTTCTTATATAGAGATGGAAGCAGCAATGGCCAACAAACTTCAAGTGAAACTTGTATGTTGGAAGTCTAAATTCAAATATGAGCATTCAAGATGAAGACATTGATCGGGATATAATATTAATTAAATATCAAGCCGCGCTTTGTGTAATTTACCCTTGCTCAATAGTTAAGCAATCTTCAAAAAAGAGCACATTCAACTTATAGGCCAATGCTAGAGCTTAACACTTAGCTGATTAATATACAAGAATATTGGGTTCTATGTATAAATATTAATTTAACTTGTATGTAATCATATGCTATTTATACTTCCTAGTCTGCTGAGGAGGGATCTTCAGCTTCTCATTTGTATGAGAACGATTAAGGAAAAGAACATTTTTTTGATATTGTGAAAAGTTTTGCGAGAAAGAAGTGCTTATTTCTTTCTTTGGGATTTATTATTAGTTTTTTTTTTATGACTCAATATTTCCACCCAATTTAAAAATAGTTTTAAGAAGTGGCTTGAATTTGGTGACCTTAATTATTGGGTCTTGTTGAGTAGCTAGGATGGGGCAGGCAAAGGTGGCAAGGAGACTGGTTTATGGACGGTAGTTGCGATTATTCAGGTTTAGCAAAGAAGCCAAAAGGCGATAAAAGAAAGTGATACAATATATAAAAGGTGATTAAGGAAATTGATTGTGTGTGTGTGCTTGTGTGCTTGGGTTTTGCGGGGTGCATGGTAGGGGAGCTTAAGCAAAAGTGTGAGTGTGTGAGAAAGAGAGAGAGAGAGATCATGCGATAAATATTTAACTGATATTTTCCTTGCATAATCAAGCTTTGCTGCAATATTAATCTAAGGCCATTATAAATAATAGCTGTCGTTTATTTACTTAACATTTGATCTGAGGACGAAACTAATCACAAATAATGACAATTCGATCCATAATTATTAAAAATAAAGTAACTCCGAATGAATACAAGATATAATATGGTAATATATGGCCCAATTAACGAAACAAATCCTAAGTTGTATTATGTCAGTGTCTACTGGCAGGCACACAGTTTGCTTAAACTGTAGCAATAATGACTAATTTTTGAGGAAGTTATGTAAGTAAGATTATGAGCTGTGATAAAAAAGATGGGCTTTAAGATTTCTTCTAAAGTTCGATAGTAGGTTCTTTTCTTAAAGCAGCAATAATTTGTTGCCCAAGATTTAACACAATTTTACATTCTTTTCTGTCGGCAGTTATTATTTTCAGACAGATAATTATGAGTTGTTATATGAATGAAGAAATATTTAACTGCTTGTGTTGAATGCATCAGTAGCAAGTTCTTTTATTGTTCTGTCGCTTGTATTAGTACTGAAGCTGAGCATACAATGAAATCATTTAGGGGTATTTTACATACATACCACTTAATTCATATGAGTGTACATATTTATAACACCTAAATTTTTATTTTTTACATTTATACAAACCAAATCTTTCATAACATAAAAAATATACCACCGTTTTAAATTTTAAAAAGTGAAATGCACATTTTCATGCATAGGTAAGGTGGTATGTATGTAAAAATTAAAGTTTGGGTGATAGATATGTAAATACATAGGAATTGAGTGGTATGTATGTAAATCTTCCAATGGTTTATTACATGCAATTTAATTTAAATCACCTGCTTCAACAGCTGTAAATTTTGCTCCACTGGCTGCCAGTTCTGCTTCACCAGCTGCCAGTGATTCAGTCGTAGATCTCTTTGGGAACTCATCGACACTTGATCCAGTGAATTCTTTGGCCCTTGTGCTGACTTCTCCGACGACAACAACGAATGATACAGAGGTGGCAACCACAGATTCAGGCTTTGGGACAAATTTTGTGGCCTTGTCATCAGCATCTGCTGCATTAAGCCAGGTATGATACTACTTGCTTTTTTTTTTCCTGCGGCATTCTCGTTTGGTTTTTTGGATGAATTATACATTGGTCCAAAATTTTCTCATATCCACACTTTGGTCATAGTTCTTTAATTTTTACATTTAGTTAATTTTCTCCTTAGTGGCTGTAGAAGTAGAATATCCCGTCTGCTATTAATTTTTGTTAGAAATCGCAAATGGTTTTCTGATTAGAAACTTAAGCGTTACAATTGTAAGAAATGAGGGCTGATTATGAGAGTTCTCTAAACACGGGAATCAAGTTATGAATTTGGGTAATAAGAGCCAAAGTGTAATATAATTGTTGTGAAATCGCACCACCAAACACCAAGAAATATGAAGAACTCTAGCTCGCCGAGTACCTCTTTCCTGTTGGAAAGAACCGTGCTACACTGCTTGGAAGGAACTTCTTGCCGCAGACTTCTTGCTGGTTTGAAAAACCGAACTGCACTGTTCCTTTTTCCGGTTGGAAAGAACCGGGCTGCACAGCTACACCTTGCTGCTTCAAGAACTCCCTGCGATACCTGCTGTAGTCGAAGGAATAGAACGCCGAGTAACAAGATTGCGGAACACTGTAGCCTGGACAAAGAATCGAAGGCCACCTGCTGCAGCCGAATACCTGCAACTAGGAACTCCTTGTTATGGCCGAATTCCTTCTTTCTGTAGCCCGAGAAGCCTGTCCACCCGCTTTGGTTTGGACAGCCCAAGAGCACTGAATATCCTTCAGAATTGCCTCCTCCTTGAGCTGCTGAATGACACCTTGTTGGACAGCTCTTGGGAGGATAAAGAAACCACAACAAGCAAAAGAAAACAGGGAAAACAGGAAGAAATAATGTAGGAAATGAAATGCAAGAACACAAACACTATAACACAACCAATTATGTGGTTCGGTCCATAGACCTACATCCACGGGAGGGAATCGCCAACAAATACACTAAGACAAAGAAGAATTGCAGGCTTTTTACATCAAAGAATGAACACTCCTCTAGATCTCTCCCTCTCGAAACTACCTCGATACAAGATTTAAGACTTCTCTCTCAATTCTTGAAGCCTCTTCCCTTCTTCTTCTTCTTGGACTGATTTCCTTCCCATTCTTGGTCTTTTTGGTCTGATTTCTATCTTCCTCCTTGTAGCGGCCTCTCCCCCTACAAGCCTATCTTCTTCCCTTGTAGTAGTCTCCTCACTCCACAAGCCTCCCTTATCTATTTATAAATAGATGAGGCCTCCCAAGTAGACTATAGAAGCTCAAAAGAAAATAACAAGTATGTCATTGCCTTAGCTAATCAATTGAGGGTCATATATAACAATTCTTCACCTTGACTCTCAATTACAAATCTTCATAATAGAGATTCGCTCCACCTTGCCTCTATGGGCCCTTAGCCCTTGGTTGAGTTTACTAAGTCCAGACAGTTCTTGAACTTAGCAATCACAGTTCTTCTGATTAGAGAATATTGTCCCTTTTTCCTTACTCCTTTCATGACGATACGAGAACCTTTAGTTACTGAAGCCCCTGTGATCACCGAATCAGAATCCAGCAAGGAGTGGATCCTCGACTCGGGGTGCTCTTTCCACATGTGTCCTCATAAGGACTGGTTCGAGACACTGCAACTGGTAAATGGCGGGTCCGTACTACTTGGAGATAACAAGGATTGCAGGGTGGTCGGTAGTGGAACAATCAGAATAGAGATGTTCGATGGAGCCGAACGAATATTGCAACATGTCAGGTACGTACCGGGGCTCAAAAGAAATTTGATTTCTTTAGATATGTTGGAGACAAACAGATACACTTTTAAGGTGGAAAATGGTCATATCAGAGTAACTAAAGGTTCTCGTATCGTTATGAAAGGAGTAAGGAAAAAATGACAATATTATCTAATTGGAAGAATTGTGATTGCTAAGTTCAGGAACTGTCTGGACTTAGTAAACTCAACCAAGGGCTACGGGCCCCTCGGGACAAGGTGGAGGGAATCTCTATTATGAAGCTTTGTAATTGAGAGTCAATGTGGAGAATTGTTATATATGACTCTCAATTGATTAACTAAGGCAATGACATACTTGTTATTTCCTTTTGAGTTTTTATGGTCTACTTGGGAGGCATCATCTATTTATAAATAGATGAGGGAGGTTTGAGGAGTGAGGAGACTACTACAAGGGAAGAAGATAGACTTATAGGGGGAGATACCACTATAAGGAGGAATATAGAAATCAGACTAAGAAGACCAAGAAGGGGAAGGAAATCAGTCCAAGAAGAAGAAGAAGGGAAGATGCTTCAAGAATTGAGAGAGGAGTCTTAGATCTTGTATCGAGGTAGTTTCTAGTGGGAGAGATCTAGAGGAGCGTTCATTCCTTGATGTAAAAAGCCTGTAATTCTTCTTTATCTTAGTTTATTTGTTGGCGATTCCCTCCCGTGGATGTAGGTCTATGGACCGAACCACATAATTGGTTGTGTTATAGTGTTTGTGTTCTTGCATTTTATTTTCTACATTATTTCTTCCTGTTTTCCCTGTTTCCTGTCCGCCTGCTTTGGTTTGGACAACCCAAGAACACTGAGTATCCTTCAGAATTGCCTCCTCCTTGAGCTACTGAATGACACCTTGCTGGACAGCTCTTGGGGGAGGATAAAGAAACCACAACAAGCAAAAGGAAACAGGGAAAACAAAAACAAATAATGTAGGAAATGAAATGCAAGAACACAAACACTAGAACACAACCAATTATGTGGTTCGGTCCATGACCTACATCCACGGGAGGGAATTACTAACAAATACACTAAGGCAAAAAAGAATTACAGACTTTTTACATCAAGGAATGAACACTCTTCTAGATCTCTCCCTCTCGAAACTATCTCGATACAAGATCTAAGACTTCTCCCTCAGTTCTTGAAGCCTCTTCCCTTCTTTTTCTTCTTAGACTGATTTCCTTCCCCTTCTTGGTCTTTTTGGTCTGATTTTTATCTTCCTCCTTGTAGTGGCCTCTCCCCCCTACAAGCCTATCTTCTTCTCTTGTAGTAGTCTCCTCACTCCACAAGCCTCCCTCATCTAGTTATGATGAGGCCTCCCAAGTAAACCATAGAAGCTCAAAAGTAAATAACAAGTATGTCACTGCCTTAGTTAATCAATTGAGAGTCATATATAACAATAACTACCTTTCTTTGTTCATACTATCATGGTGTCAAGACAAATAGCAAATTTTAGATTGTGGATCATCTTATTGGAAAATTGTGTCGGCTACTTTTTTTTGAATAATTCAATGAAGGTGTTTCCCAAAATTTTTGATAAGATTTTTCAATCAATTTTGTGCTCTTCATTTTTTAATAGTCCATAAATAATTGCTCATAATGCTTACTGGAAGATTTGTGATCACTGCTCTACTATAATTTTCCATTTTATTTCATGCTGAACGTTTGTTTTGAGCTTTTCCCGAATGCTTCACAGCCTACTGAAGATCCATTTGGAGATGGTCCTTTTAAGGCTTTTCCACAAGAGAATTTTTCAAGTCAGGTACAAACCTCTGTGTCAGCAGCTTCTTCTGCTCCTTCCTTCCCACCATCTGTCCAATCAATGTCAACTCCTGAGCCTGTCACACCTTTAAGCCCATTAATGGAGTCTTCGTTGGACTTCGGTTTTGGGGATTCATTAAGTGCTCTAAGCTACACCCCTTCTGTTGCAACCAATCCCATCTATTCTTCACACCCAACACTTATTGCTTCAGAGTTTCCACCAGCTCATTCATCGATTCCACAAGCTACTCCTTTAACCATACAGTCAGTTCAACCGATGTTTCAACAGAATGTTCTGGCAGCCCAGTCATCGATTCCACAAGCTACTCCTTTAACCATACAGTCAGTTCAACCCATGTTTCAACAGAATGTTCTGGCAGCCCAGTCATCCATTCCACAAGCTACTCCTTTACCCATACAGTCAGTTCAACCCATGGTTCAACAGAATATGCTGGCAGCTCAGTCATCGATTCCACAAGCCACTCCTTTACCCATACAGTCAGTTCAACCCATGGCTCAACAGAATATTGTGGCAACTCCACAGAATTTTCCGCAGCAGCCGGGGCTGTCTTTTCCTGTAACTCAACGGCCACCGACTACCAATGTTTCCGGACCATCGAATGTGAAGCAATCAAATGATACATTCGAGACGAAGTCATCGGTTTGGGCTGATACGTTGAACCGAGGTCTCGTTAACCTAAACATTTCTGGATGTAAGTAAACAAAATTTTATAGTAAGATTTACATACATGTCACTCAATTCATTTATATATATTAACATGTCTGACAGCTAAACTCTTACATACATACATGAAAATGTGTATTTCACTTTTTAAACAAGTTAAAATGATGGTATTTTTGAAGTGGAATGAAAGATTGGGCAGTATAAATGCAAAAAAGTAAAATTTAGGTGTTAGATGTAGGAATTGTGTGGTATGTATGTAAATGCCCCGATTTATATACTGTGCTTCATCCCAACCTAACATTTTGTCTCTGTGATTGCAGCAAAAACCAATCCATTGGCAGATATAGGGGTGGACTTTGATTCCATTAATAGGTTGGAAAGAAGGAAAGAGAAGGAAAAAGGTTCTGCAAATCCTCTCACTTCTACTGTCACTATGGGCAAAGCCATGGGCTCAGGGTCCGGAATCGGCCGTGCGGGAGCTGGGGCCATTAATCCAACAAGGCCCGCTATGGGATTGGGAATGGGGATGGCCATGGGCGGCGGTGGGATCGGAATGGGTGGCCCCGGTGCAATGGGAATCGGTGGTTACAACGGTCCCATGAATCAGCCCATGGGCATGGGCGGAGGAATGGGCATCGGCCAAGGAAATTATATTCGTGCTCGGCCCGAAACGCAATCCCCTACACCAAGCTTTCCCGGGTCAGGCTACAATTCCATGGTGGGGATGGGAGGCTACGGTTCTCAGCAACCATATGGTGGCGGATATAGGTGAATGAACCCGGAAACTTTTCGGAAAGCATAAATACAGCCAATACATTAGAGAGAGGGTGTTACAAAAAATTCATGTTCTTGGAAAGATTTCCTCTTATAGTTTAGCTCAAGAAAACTTCTTGCATTAATGATCATTATTGTACTTGTACTTAATCTTTAGATTAATCAAGGAACAATATTGATCACTAGCATAAGAATTTTTCTTGAACTAAGCTAAGTGGAGAAATCTCTCCCATTCTTGACACTTTTCTGTAGTTTTTTTTTTTTTAGTTTTTCTGGGTGCATTATTGGTGTATGTTGGGATGTATTTCTATACATAGTACAGGTGATGATGTCAGTCTTTGAAGTGTTATGCTGCAACTATCTCTGTTGTGCCTGAAGCTTCTACTGGATTTCTGCATTCAGATTCGTCCACAGCGTAATCAACGTCTGGAATGGGGGTATTGTGATATTGTTATTATATTATTGCAGTTGAGGAAGAGAGTACTATTATATAATAATTCATTTGTTTTTTTTGTTGTTTTGAGAGGAACTTATTTGGCAGCTGATTAAGCTGGTGTTTGTAAATTGGGAGCGGATTACATGTATTTGATTACAAGGAGTATGTGAATCTTGCGCTTTTGAAAAATGGAGGTGTGATTGATTGGTCAGCTGTGGTTATTTTATACTATTTCAAGCTTCATTGAAGGAGTTTTTTCTTAGGGCCATTTACATGTGTGCCACCCGAGTCTTATATATTTACATATATAACACTCAAAATTTCTTACCTTGGGATCACTACTCATAGATTTTGATCGAGTAGCTGTCTGCAGTAGTGAATTCTACTCCTCTGATCTTCATATTGAATCTCGGTGAAAGTCAGTTCATACCATCTTGGCAAGCTCACTTTTTGCCATTAACACCCATCTTCTTAATTGTTTAGTCTCTATCCAATATGGAGAATGATTGTGTTGCTCGCCTAATATTTATTGACCTTCAATTTGTCTCGTTAATCTTTGGCCAATGCAAACTAAATATGATTTGTATGTCCAACAACTATTAATGTCTAAAATGAGCCAGCTTGATAATTCGATCTCACATTCGACAAAGAGAAAGGTTGAGTTAGGTCGTGCTGACGTTGCTAGCATTAAACATTTGTCATCTATGGAACTTGTGAATTTGTTCTTGATTTTTACAGAACATAGAAATGTGAATCACTTGATAGTATTCTAAGTAAAGGATTTTTACATGCATTTTGCATCCATTATCTCTCCTTATATTATATATACATGTTACAAGGGAAAAGAATTCCTAAGCTATACAGGTTAAAACCAATTAAAATGCATTTATAATAACATAATAGTTGATTATGTTATTTTGAGTAAGTTCTAGATAATGCCTGCCCCCAAATTAAGAATCCATAGGTTGGATTGTTAATTGTCCATATTATTTCAAAATTTAGAGAAAGTTAAGCTTTTGGTAAGTATATCCGCCATTTGATCTTGGGTAGTAATAAGATGAATAAGGATCTCTTTATTTGTTACATAATCTCAGATAAAATGAAAGTTTATTTCAATGTGCTTTGTCCTTGCCTGAAATATTGGATAAGTGTCTATATCAATAGTGGATGTCGTATCACGATAGAAGGGTGTAGTTGTATTGATCGAAACACCAAACTCCTCAAGTAATCTTCTTAGCCAAATTGATTTTTGTTACAGTAGTAGCAAAGGCTCTATATTCGATCTCAGTGAAAAACCGAGCAACTGTTGTTTGCAAAAACCGAGCAACTGGTGTTTGCTTTTGAAATTTCCATGAGAACAGATTGTTTCCTATGAAACTGCGATAACTCGTAATTGAACGCCTATCATTCTGAATTGCTACCCAATCAGAGTCACAATAAGTGGTGAGTTGAACATTGCACCTTGTGATTGGATTGCAATAGTTAGCAAAATACGTATAGTAGAGATTTTAGCAACCAAGCTAAATATCACATGATAATCAAATCCATATTCTTGATTAAATCCATGTACAACCAATTGAGTTTTGTGTTTAGCAATATACCCATTAGAGTGGTATTTGGTGCGGAAGGTCCACTTGCAGCCGAGAACTATGTGATTTATAGGAGATGGTACTAACTCCCGTGTACCTTGTTGTTGAAGTGCAGTAAATTCTTGAGACATAGCTTGTCTCCATTGAGGTGATTTTATTGCTTGAGTAGGATCTTCGATATTTGTTATTTGAGGTGTAAGATCCATAATACACTTGGGCTTTCAAATTCCAGCTTGCAACCTAGTTGTCATGGAATGTTTAATTGAATTGTTTGCATGAGATTGAGTTGGAATGGTATGCAGTAAATCATTATTGATTTTGTTGATAACATGTTCAATAATAATAGGTTCGTAATTTAAATTTGCTTAAGTTATTGTTTCATCATCCGCGATTGGTTGTTCTGCAGAGTTTACTATAGCCGAAGTAGGTATGAAAGTAGAAAGTGGAATGACTTTCGATGACAGAACTGAAGTTGTGACTTGTGAGTAGTATTTTTGTATGGAAATTGAGTCTCATCAAATTGAACATGTCTTGATATGATAACCTTTCTATTCACTGGGTTCAAGCATTTATATCCTTTGTGAGTGGATGAATATCCAATAAATACACAAGGAGAAGATTTTGGATGAAGTTTTGTTACTGCTTGTGATTATTTTTAGGGACAACATAGAGCACCAAAGATCCTTAAGTGATCATATCTTGGTGCTTTGCTATATACAAGCTCATAGGGAGACTTATGATGAGTTTTTTTCTTATGGCAAACGATTAAAGGGATAAACAACAATCAAGGCTGCATCAATCCAAAAGTTATGTGGTAAGTTAGCCTTCAATAGTATGGTGTGCATTATATCAATAATGTGCCTATGTTTTTGTTTGACAATACCATTTTTGGGGCGTATTTGGGCAACTCAATTGTTGTTGTAATCCACTCTTGAGAAGATGAGTTTTAAATTTCGAAGATATGTATTCTCCTTCAATATCAGATCGAAAGAACTTGATATTTGTTTAAAGTTGATTTCGTACCATTTTCTAAAAGTAAATAAATTTGAGCAATGGCTCTCTTTTGTGTGACATGGGAAACAACCATGTAAATTTAGTATGATTGTTTATGAAGATGATGTAATATCTTTGATTTTCACATGATAACATTGGGGATGGTCTCCAAAAATCATTGTGAATCAATTGAAAAGTTAAAATAGAGGTAGTAATATGCATATTAAAAGGCAATTTATGACTTTTAGAAGCAAAGCCACGTCATGAGGATGTCTAAGCCGTTGATGCCAAATGATCGGTTGAATAATTGTCGATAATGCTGTAATCTGCAACAATTTGTAGAGACCATTGCTGCTCCTTCCCTTAAGGATGATTTGATGAGTTTTCTTGTCTTGAATCTAATAACCAGTGGCATCAAATGTACCATGCAGACATCTTCTTTGGCTATTTTTTGTACAGATAATAAATTGAATGTTAAATTAAGTGTATGTAATAATCATGAGAGTTCAAGCATATACTTTGGAGTAGATAAAATTTCTTTACTTGTATGAGTTATAGGAATTTTCTTACCATTTCTAATAGTAATCTGTTCATTACTTATATATTGTTGAGGATTTTAAACATTGGCGAGATGGTTGGTAATGTGAAAAGTTGTTGCCTTGTCCACAATCCAATCATTTGAATTGTTATCATTAGTTGCTATGAATGCTTGTAAAGAAGTACTGAACATTTGTAGGATTGTAGTTCAAATATGGGCAATGCCAACACATTCTTGCTGAATGCCCGTATTTTTCACATATTTGACATTAACTGAGAGGCTTGTTTGTAGTTTCATAGTTCTGATTTGAGCTGTAGAAATCATTTCTTTTGTTTTGCTTAAAGGAATATTTTCCTTTGAGTGATTGATTTATATAAGTTTTGTTAGCAATCAAAACTAATTGGTCAACATATGTTCTTTTCCATTTCTGATGAGATATTCACCTCTTCACTATATAGAAGTGAGTATAAATCATCCATTTGAATCGGTAAAAGGCTGATTTTGATGACGACCTTGAATGAGTTTTAGGTAGATGGTAAGCCATTAAGAGTATACAATATAATGTCTTTCGTATCAACCTTAGACCCATACCCAGCGATTTGATCCATAGGTTTCTTGATTTATATTAGATATTGAGTTATAGATTGGCTTCTCATTGTAATATGATGTAAATCATTCTTGAGTTGGATCACACATAATCAATTTGAGGACTGCTTCCTTTTAAGAAAGCTTTTTCCATATCTCGGTAGTAGTATCATGACGAAGCACATATGGAAGAATGCTATGAGAAATAATTATGTACAAAGCTACAAAAAGATTTCAATCGGCCTGCTTCCAAAGAATATAATTTTGAGACTGATTGCTAGAACATTAATATCACTAATATATTTTGAAGGGAAAACATCATCTTCATTTAAAAATAATTGAAACCCATTTGCTTGAAAGAGTTACATCATTAATGCACACCAAATAGAGTAATTTTTTGCTGTGAGCTGAGTTGAGGCCAGAGATTTGATATGGTTGAGAAGAAATTTCAGGAATGAATAAATATGATGATTGTTGTTGGTTTGGGTTGGGAGACTGGTTTGAGAAGATGAATCCATACTGCTTGGGTATCAAAAGAAGGGGAGGAAAGAATTTGTTGTTTGATTTTTACCAGCTTAGAAGAAGAAAATTTTAGGAAGAGAAGAACCTAGAAATGAATGTTGTTGCTACTTCCAGGATCTTGTTGCGGCTCTCAGAAGTCCTACTCTGATACCATGTGAATCTGTTTTTGATTTTTATAGAACATAGAAATGTGAATCACTTGATATTATTCTCAAGTAAAGAATTTTTACATATATCTTACATCCACAATCTCTCTCCTTATATATATATATATATATAGGTTACACGGTAAAAGAATTCTTAAGCTATACAAGTCAGAACTATTATTATAACAAAATACCTGATTCTAAGTTATGGATAACAATACCATGCACATGCTAAACATTGATATCTACTGTCCACTAGCTATTAAGTTTTGGCACCCATCTTCCAAATTATCCAATCTTCTCTTCTTAAATAAAAATAATAGATGTCACTGAGTACTCAATTTATATTACTTTTTTGTTGATTAGCATTAAAATTATATCATCAAGTGACATTTAATGCCCATTAAACATTTGATGTCCAATAACATTCTTATAGATAACTCAATCCCCACCTTTACTTGATAAAATCATGAAAAGCTTTTGATTCCTCTTACTATCAACAAAGTGAATGTCTTTAACTGTTTGTATCTACAATATTGGATTATTGTCATCTCAGTTACAAGGAACATCATAATTTATCTGATTTAACACTCGTTAGCAGAATTATTTTAATTAATCCAGACTATATTAATTTTCTCTATTTTTTATTTATTTTTCTTACATAAGAAATGTTGTATATCTTATGGGCATCTCTTGACTTATCCATGAATGATTGGAATCTTCCCTCAATGCTAAAGTCATATATATATATATATATATATATATATATATATTCTCGTATATCGTTTAATTTAATTTTAAGTATTTTGAATTTATTTAAAAATGAGTGTAATGTAAGAATTGATTGAATTTAATTGATTATTCCGGCAATAAAATACATCTATTAGTTACTTATGTATAAGTTACATCATTTTATTATTAATGCAAGCCACATTAAAATTTATTTGTTTATAAAAATAATTATACCTAAGATAAGAATAATTTATTTTTTTTTCTAATTTTTTTAAAAAATAAAAATACATCTAACAAACGTTTTTCTTTTGGAATTATCATTTATAATTTTAAGAAACAAAATCAACCGCAGAAAATAATGCACCAATCTCAAAGAAACAACAAAATAAACAATCGATCTATACATTACTGTTGCATAGGATTCCCAATCAGCAGTCACCATTCCCCCACCAAATCATTAGGGTTACGGTCACCAATTATCGTTAAATCGGCTGAGTCAGCACCACCTCTTCATCAACATATCCCTGGGTGCCGTTTTGGGTGCAAAAGTCGGTCTCCAAATCACCAATGCGCCAACTAAATTACCAGAGCACATTTGACGCCGGTCTCTTGCTAATTGCTATTTCCATCCATCGCTCTCTCCCACATACGCAGAGAATCTAATGGAATTCGGTTGAATTTTTTTTTTCCTCTCTCTCTTTCTCTTTCTCTTTCTCTTTCTCGGCAACCATTCAGAATGTGATATTGGTCGGTGTGTTGATTTGGTGTTATGGATATTAGATTCGTATTGATCTTTGTCATTTGCTGCTGCCTCGAAGAAGGTGTCGTTAAGTGATTTGTCGGTAATGTTTGTATTGTCTAGGGTTGCAAGCGCGTGAAAGTTTGGGTGATTATATCTACGAATTGGGGCTAGGGATTGAAAGCGGAGATTCCTATTCAGATCTAAGGAGATTGGATACGAGTTGTGGATTTTATTTTATTTTTATTTTTCGGCGATTTAGGACTCTTTGATGATTCTGTGGGGCTTAATTTCGACCCATTGTTCATTGGTTTGCCGCGTATAAACGATTTGTTTATGATGGATCACATTGTTGGCGGAAAGTTCGCGATTAGAAGAAAGATTGGAAGTGGATCGTTTGGGGAGATCTATCTTGGTTTGTCTTAATTTTCATTTGTTATGTTTCTGTTACTTATTGAAGTTTTGAATGCTTTTTTCATTTTGATGGTCTGTGTTGATGCATTTGTTCGGTTTATGTTATTCAGGTGTCAACATACAGACGGGGGAAGAGGTTGCGATCAAGTTGGTACGTTTTTGCTCCTTTATTTGGGTTTTGTTTAAGGCAATTTTATTTTATTTTATTATAATTATGAACTTTTTTCTGTGAGATGTGGTCTTTTCACGAGTTAGCAGAAACTTTAAAAAGTTATTCTTTGGCATCAAAGGTTACGTTGGCAGCGGATGGTATCTTAGCTTTTTATGTTACCTTTAAGCTTTGTGGAATAATTATTTACTACAAGGAAGATGAATTTTTTCTTTCCTCTGGTATTGTACCCGATGTCAGAAGCAAATACTATTTGTTTCAGGAAAAAAAACCACGGAGAAAAGGTTTAGTTTTAGTAAATTCTGTGTATTTTGGTCAGTTAGAATAGTATGTAGATTGAAGAGTTTGACCCAAAGTTAGGAATTGCTTCCATTTTTGTATGATTAGGATTTGCTAAGACTAATTTCACATTTGCAAGGAGTCTGGATTTAGCATTTTGCATGTAATATTGAAGTTCTGCCTTTTAAATCTACCATGCGTAGCTCCATTCTCTTCCCACGTTTTAATGTGGCAGAGAAGAAAAATGTAGAATGCTTATATGTTGAACAATTTTTTATCAATCAAAAAGATCTTTGTTTTTGCTCCATGATTTTGCATACATCTTGTTGCGTATATATGATCTGGTTTAGGATATAGCTTCAAAGAAACTAGAGTTATATTTGCGCTCAATTTATAAAATTTAGTTTGGATAAGGCAAACCTTATAGCTGTAATGATGTCGGTGTCTTCATGATGGATCCTTTGTGTATCAGCTTCAGCCTGTGAATTCATCAATTTAATGCTTTCATTTTGTACTTTCATTTTTCTTATGAAGCCTTAAAAGTGTTTCTTTCAAATTTCTCTCACTCGAATATCATCCATGACAGGAATCTGTAAAGTCGAAGCATCCTCAGCTACACTATGAATCAAAACTATATATGCTTCTCCAAGGAGGAAGTAAGGCTTTTATTTCTAGATTTCAATGATTGTATAAATTTCAAATTATATTATTCTTTGTTTTGTATTATCCAATAAAAGCTTGAATCTCCAACCTAAGCCATGTCTCAGGAGACTAAACTCTCCTTATAGTAATTATTGTTTTTATTTTATCTAGGCATACTGATTTCTGATTGGCTTTTATGCTGTTGTTTACTGGCCATTTTAAAAAAGCTGGAATTCCTAACCTAAAATGGTTCGGTGCTGAGGGGGACTACAATGTGATGGTTATTGATCTTCTCGGTCCAAGTCTAGAAGACCTCTTTAACTATTGTGATCGAAAGTTCTCATTGAAAACTGTACTTATGCTTGCTGATCAATTGGTAAGTACTTTGTCTCACTTTTACCTTTTTTTTTTTGGCATTTACACACATAGCTCATGATTCTTATGTATTTACAAATCAAACACCTAAATTATAATATTTACATTTATATCACTCAAATCTTTAACATCACAACAAAAATAACATTTTTACTAACTGTTTGAAAGTCAGATGCACTTTTTAATGCATAGGTTTGTAGCACCGTGGTGTTATGATATTATCAAACTTTAGGTGTTAGATATGTAAATTCATAAGAATTGTGTGGTATGTATGTAGATTTTCTTTTTTTTTCCATATTGAATGATGCCTCAGATTGTTATGTGCTTGTGATGACTTTTTCTGGTCTTCCCAATCAAGTGCTTCTAGCATTAAGATAAATTTAATGTATTTCAGATTAATAGAATTGAATACATGCATTCAAGGGGATTTCTTCACCGTGATATAAAGCCAGATAATTTTCTGATGGGCTTGGGTCGTAAAGCAAACCAGGTAGGTCCATTTTTGGCTTTTTAATAACCTGCTGCATTCGCTTCTCTAGTTTGACAAAGTCTGGTTTTTTTGAATTTTGCTTCAATTATACTCACTATTTATAGCGTTTTGTTGCTTTCTTTTCTATTATCTATTTATATATTTTTTTGTTATGTTCTCGTGTGTGTTTATAGTTATTACCCACCCTTTCATACTGCAGCTTTCAAGTTAAAGCTGCATTTGCTGTTAGAATAGTTTCGAAGTAGGATTTTAGAGTGAAAAATTTTATAGTTCTATTTTATTGTGTTTTAGTTATGATTTGGCTGAAGTTTAATTGTGATTTTGTGATAAAAGTAGTTAATTAAGTGATTTAATTATAGATAATGACATCATTTAGAGCTAATGGAATATTTTTTGCTTTTCATATAGATAATCACATCATTTAGCCGACCCATGTAATGGGATTAAGAGTCTGTTTGACGCAGCTGTTGATTATTTTTAATCTGCTGATAAACAAATTATTCTGATAATCTGATGATCTACAGATTATCATATTAATTTGGTTTGCTGTTTGGGGCAACTTATTCATATTAGTTTATTGGTGATTAAATGACATTCCTGCCCCTGTCTTATAAAACTGTTTGGGGCAGCTTCTTCAGAATAACTTATTGGTAGTACAGAAGCGTATAGTGCAGAATCATACAATTATCACAGATCAGTTTCAAAAGATGACATACAGTTCTCACACTCTCGTGAGTATCAGAAGAAATAAAAAAAAGACAAAGACAAGTACAATTACAATGAAAAATATTAAAATATTTAATTTCAAACTCTGGGTACGCCTGTCCTCAGCTGCACTATCAATCTGAGAAAACATCAGATTCCCATGACTGCTGACAGTGTAATATGTGAGAATGTCAGCCCACCGAAAGAAATCGCAACGAGCTGAAACATCCTTGACACAACCGTAAAACTGTCTCTCAAAGCTATGAGACTGACGTGACGTGAGCAACGAAGACGGTAGTCCACAATAACACAAAATACCTCTGTCTGTAACTGATATTCTAGAATTCATGTTTGTATTACCGCAAAAAAAAAAAAAAAGAATGTCAGAACTTATCCCAAAAAAATAAATTACACATAAAAATTGATCTACATATGTATGAAGAAAAGGACTTGCTGGATTAGCTGCACAACATCTGCTATAGACCCTCTCAGAGCAGCCATCTCGGCTGCACACTCACCGTCCTGAGTTTCATATTCAGTAGACTGTATCTCATTATCAGCTAGAGATCCTGAAGGTTATAGGGAGTCAATAATTGGATCATCATTAGCAATATTGAAGTCCGTATTTGAATGAGAAAGATGTCGTCAGATAAAGTTGTGAAGTGCAATAAAGACCACCACAATATGCACCTGTTTGAGAAATGAATACGAGGGCATATCACGTAAGATAATCTATTTCTTCTTCAACATTCCAAATATTTTTTCAATAAACCCCCGTAAAGAGGAGCGTCGTTTGTTAAACATTTCTTTTCTGTCACGAATTGTGCCACTTGCTCACTCAAAATTAGGAATATGATATTTAATGTCTGGATAGGGCTTCAGGTAGCCCCTTAGTATCAGATACCCAACATCTACCAAATAATACTTCCCTGTTATGAGAGACAATATTAATTAAAAATAATAAATATAATTAACAAGATGTTTAATTAAGATGAACAAACCTGGAGGTGGGTGAGGGAAACACTGTGTTCTATTCCTAGTTGCATAGAAAAAAAGACGACTGTCATGTGCACTTCCTTCCCACCCCGCTATTACAAATGTGAAGCACATGTTGAAGTCACATATTGCTATCATATTTTGGGTAGTTTTACCACTCCGACCAATATACGCGATCTTTTGATGACTTGATACTCAAACATCCACATGCGTACAATCGATTGCTCCAATGCAGTTCTGTAATTTATAGTTATCAATTTATCAGGTATTGAAGTAAAAGTAACAAGCTAATCAAACTTACTTTGAAATACGACATGTAACGGAGATCATTTGCAATTTGTTCAGGAATAGTTGCGAACGATGAATCTGATGGCTTAATGTTCTGCGTTGTTAAGCTCACAAGTGCTTGTATACCTGTGTAGAAGTATCGACTAATTGTTTCCAAGGAATGCTGAAATCGCTCCATAGCTCCTCTATTTGATTCATTCTGTGAGAGAATATATAATGTTATAGCCAACACATCTCTCGTGATCGTTCTAGAAGAATCTTGGAGACCGTGGTTACAACATAAGTCATGTAGAAGATCCATAAAAATAAGTGCAGTCATTCGAAAAACGCTGCT